TATTCATTCATTCATTCTCCACTTGCCATTTATTCTTGGTTCTTGATTTAGAAATGAATATGAATTAGAAGCTTGCAGGTTTACTCTGGACAAAGACTAATGTTGAGGCCATTGACACTTGGAGCTAAAGAGATTTTAACATTCTTTAGCATGACCCTTTCAGAGGAAGAAAAGAATTTGTTTAAAGCTGTAAGTTTATTAGTGTCCACCTGAAATTTTCAAGGAAGGAAGTCATCACATGTGACAGAAGTATCAAGTTTCTGGGCTTTCCTGCTGTCTCAGTGGTAAAGAATTGGCCTACCAATGTAGGAGACATGGGTTCGATCCCTGGTCCAGGAGGATCTCACATGCCCCAGAGCAACTAAGCCTGTGCCCCACAGCTATTGAGTTTGTGCTCTAGAGCCCAGGAACCGCAACTGCTGAAGCCTGTACGCTGCAGCGAGAGGCCACTGCAGTGAGAAGCCCGCGCACCACAATGAAGAGTGCCCCCTGCTAGATACAACTAGAGAAAAGTCTGCACAGCCACGGAGGCACACACAGCCAAAAATAAATAATCACATAAAATTATTTTTTAAAAAAGTACTATCAAGTTCCCTATAGCAGAGAGGAGCCAAACAGTTTTCACCTTTGCCATAAAATTTGAATTGTTAAGATAGCGGGGATAGCTGTCGCTAGTATGTGAGTACCTAAGAGTCTGAGTGGTAGAGTTGGGCTTTTTGTTCAAAAGTCCTGAATGACACCCACACTGAGGAATCAGATTTCTGAAGAATTTTACCACAGAGCAGTTCTTTATCTTCCCATTTCTGCAAGACATTTCCATATTTATTATACATTTTTAAAAGTTTGCGATCAGAAAAGGCAGCTTGGAAAAAGTGTCAACTATAGTTAATTTCAGGTGTAAGTTAACAAACATCTGAAATAAAAACTAGGGTTAATATTTTCTTCCTAATTTAGTGTTTTATAAATATAAGATATAATGCTGTTCCTATAGTAAAGCAATTTATTTGAGAGTTTTATAGTCTCATTTTTATAGTCTTCCATTTTCTAAGGAACTATGGAAATATTTGAGAGCTGTCAGGTAAAATCAACATTTCTATAGAAATACATGCTAAAAGTTTATTCTTCTTTTCAATAAAAGAACTTAGCAAAGTACTCGGATCCCTTTGATTTTCTTTGTCCCCTCTTTGGTTCTCTGTGACAAATTCCTAGGTCCAGGAGGAATATTCTGGTTTAATCATTTTCCTAGAAAGGATGCTGCCTAGAGCAGGGACTTCCAATGAATGACCAAGGTTATCCTAGAGACTTGTAAAAAGTAAATACCCAGCAAAACGACAACAAAACTATGATATACATGACAATATGATTCCATTTATATAAAACTCTAGAAAATGTGGACTGCCCCAAAGTGACAGAAAGCCAATCAGTGGTTGCCTGGAGAAGGTGGAGGCAGGGAGAGGTGAGAGGAAGGGATCACAGCAAAGGGGCCTAAAGAAGCTTACTGAGTACCAGCTATGTTTTTGTCTTGATTATGGTGATGGTTTCATGCATGTCCATACATCAAAAATTTCCAAATCGTACACTTTAAATATTGTGAAATTTCTGTACATCAATCATACTTCAAAATGTATGCAAGTTTTTGGTGTCAATTATACCACACACAAAAAAGCAAGTGCTCTACAGACTAAATATAAGAAAAACAAAACAACCCATAATCCCAGTGGTCAGAGATAAACACTGTTTTGTTTTTGTTTTTTTTTAGCTGCTCCACCTGGGACATGGGATCTTAGTTCCCCAACCAGGGATTGAAAGCACAGAGTCTTAACTACTGGATCACCAGGAAAGTCCTTGTAAACACTGTTAATGCAACAGTTATTTACTTCTAGAACCTTTTCTATGAATGTAATCACTGCTGGTGTATCCATCTATCTCTTTCAAGGATCTATAATATTTTCCTGTTCCACCTATATAGGTATATATATACATATATATAGATGTAGGTATATATAGGTATATACCTATATATGTGGGTATATATAGGTATATATATATATATCTATATAGGTATACATATATACATAGGACATATATATATATATATATATATATATATATATAATTTGTATATATGGAGAGTGAAAAAGTTGGCTTAAAACTCAACATTCAGCAAACTAAGATCATGGCATCTGGTCCCATCACTTCATGGCAAATAGATGGGGAAACAACGGAAACAGTGACAGACTTTATTTTTGGGGGCTTCAAAATCACTGCAGATGGTGACTGCAGCCATGAAATTAAAGGAACCTTTGCTCCTTGGAAGAAAAGCTATGACCAACCAAGATACCATATTAAAAAGCAGAGACATTACTTTGCCAACAAAGGTAAGTCTAGTCAAAGCTACGGTTTTTCCAGCAGTCATGTATGGATGTGAGAGTTGGACTGTAAGGAAAGCTGAATGCCAAAGAATTGATGCTTTTGAACCGTGGTGTTGGAGAAGACTCTTGAGAGTCCCTTGGATGGCAAGGAGATCCAACCAGTCAATCCTGAAGGAAATCAGTCCTGAATTACTCCTTGTAAGGACTGATGCTGAAGCTGAAACTCCAATACTTTGGCCACTTGATGCAAAGAACTGACTCACTGGAAAAGACCCTGATGCTGGGAAAGATTGAAGGTAGGAGGAGAAGGGGGCGACAGAGGATGAGATGGTTGGATGGCATCACCGACTCACTGGACATGAGTTTGAGCAAGTTCCGGGAGTTGGTGATGGACAGGGAAGCCTGGCGTGCTGCAGTCCAGGCGTCGCAAAGAGTCGAACAGGACTGAGCCACTGACCTGACTGACTGATAAAATATATATCTATAAGGTCAATTTGCTGTTTTTAGGAAAATGACTATTTTCCAGTGCTCTGCTGTCCTCTCTCTCAGAGAAGAGATGCGGTGTTTTTGAAAGTGAAAGTGTTAGTTGCTTCAGTTTGGTCGACTCTTTGTGACTCCATGAACTGTAGTTCACCTGGCTCCTCTGTCCATGGAATTCTATAGGCAAGAATACTGGAGTGGGTATCCATTTCCTTCTCCAGGGGATCTTCCCGACCCAGAGACTGAACCTGGGTCTCCCGCCTTGGAGGCAGATTCTTTACTGAGAGATTTGTCAGGGGTGCCCAAATCTTCCCTTCATCCCTTCGCTGCTATGTTTGAAGTGTTTGCCCATGAATGTCAGCCTGCCTGGGAACTGCCAGTCTCCCACATCCATGTCTACAAATCTACCTCAGAACTTTGCACAACAGAAAAGTAGCTGCTGTCTCAAAAGGTTGGCATCCTCAGACATGGCACTCTCAAGTTTTGAAAAGTGGTATTTACCTGATTGTGAACAGTTTCTAGAGTGGAGTACATCACTAGCCTTGGGCGTAGGTGCTGTGATTCACTCTCTCCAGGCAATTTTGTCTGCTTCTGCTGGGATTGCAGTGTGATCCACGGTGCTCTTCAGCACCCCAGGAAAAAAGCTTTCAACGGCACTGCAGTCCTTTCTGACCCACAATGATTGCTTGTCTGCTTCTGTGGCTTCTAGTAGCTCTTTCCCTCATTTGAATAAGTTTCCCCTTCTGCTACTTCAAGCTGATATTCTTAAAAAAAAAATATATATATATATATATATATACACACACACACATATATATATGTATGTATATGTATGTATATGTATATGTATATATATATATAGGTTGGTTATCCTGTACCTCTGCAACTAAGAGAGAAAGGAAAAAGAGAGCGAGATTGAGAAAAAGAGAATTTTCAGTTGCTGTCTTCATTTCTTTTATTTCAGAACCCTTTACTTACGGCCGGGCCCATCTGTCTGCACTCTCTGCTCTCTTTACTGTTTAGCTTTTAAAGTTCTCAGGAAAGGATTTCGGGACCCAAAAAGTCAATAAGACTCAAAGAATTGTCAACATACTTATACACAGAAGCTAACCAATCTCAATAAACCTCAAATAAGCACGGCTAACACTTGTCTATAAAGAATAGCTGTTTCAACTGTTTGCCAAAGCATAGATCTATGAGCCATTTTATTTGCCATCTTCACAGACACAGTGTTATTAGTCCTTCACCTACTGGGAATATTTGCCAAAAAATTACTCCCCCGTGGGAAATTATAAAAAATTTAGAACAGTACATTTTAACTACTGAATATTAATGCAACCTTTTCTAACTTACTAATAAAAGAATCAAATCCCTGTTTGTGAATATATTAAAAAGTTAGACCAGGCAGTTTCATATGTACCAGTAGTTTTTTTCACTGTGACATTCATTTTCACTTTAGAATTTAGACAGGATTGTAATGGGACTGATAAAAGCAAAACTATACTCTTTGAAATATGTGTTAATTGTGCCCATTTTTGTCTTCATGACAATTGATTGCAGTGTTTGCACTGGAGATGAATGACTTAGGAGTCCAAAGTTCCATGTGTGACATACACCATTATAGGGTATTACTCCCATCAAAAGGTTCAGTTACACTGGTGGTAAAATTAAAGTGATTACCTTGACTTAGTTATGATATGTGATATGTCACAACTTGGGTGTCCCAGTGGAATTATATTGATTCAGTAAAGACTAACAGTTTAGGAATCAGGAAACCTGGATTTTAGTCCCATGTCCACTTATAATAAAATTGGGCAATTTCAGTGGGCCTCATGTGTTGGATGTGTGAATGTATATGAATGTGTGTATGAGTGCGTAGATTTGTGTGTATGTTTATAAAAATGGTACAAAGTAAGACAGTTAGCATAGCTGAAATATTGGGTGTGTTAGGAGTAGTGGTAGAAGATAGAGGTTTACAAGGAGATCAGATCATAGGGACATTATATACCATGCTAAAGAAAATGAATTTTATTTTATAAGTGCTAGGGAAACACATTAAAAAGTTTTTTTTAATTTGAAATAATTTGAGAGTTGCAAAGATAGTACAAAGTCCCATATGCCATTTACCTAGCTTCCTCTAATAATGACTCATTTATCAAAACTGAGAGGAGCCTGTTGCTGTTTGCCCGGTACTTCTCTGCAGCCGAGGTGCGCGCCTGGCACGGGGAGGGGCGTGCACGCCACGCGGGCTGGGACCTGGGTGCGGTGGCTGCTGGTGGCGCTGACAGCGGCCGCAGCGCTGGTGCTCTTGACCCAGCTGGGCACCGCTGACCGCAGTGGGCCCGCTTCCTGTGCCGCCGCCCTCGGCGCTTCACCAGCTTTGAACAGGTGGCCCAGCTGGGCGCCGTCGCTTGCGGCCTGACCGTCTCGCTTCTCTTTCTGCCAAAACAAACAAAACTGAGACATTTTCATTGGTACAATACTAATAACTAAATTATAGACTGCATTTAGATTTTTATCAGTTTTCCCACTAATTTTTTCCTTCTGTTCTAAGATCCAACCCAGAATACCACATTGCATTGGATTGCCATGCCTCTTCAGTATTTTCTTATTTGTGATTGTTTTGCAGACTTTGTCTTTCCTGACCTTTGCACCTTCACATGTCTGCAATGTGCTGATCAGGTGTTTTGTAGCTGTCCCTCAATTCAGGTATGTCTGAAGTTTCTGAGGATCAGATTAAGGTTATGCTTTTTTGGCAAGAATAGTGCAGAAGTTGTCCTTCTAGGTGCCTCACAGCAGATGGTACTTGATGTTGATATGTTATTATCGGTGATTTCAGCGTCATTCATTTGGCTAAGGTGAAGTATGCCAGGTTCATCCACTGTGAAATAATTTTTTTTCCTTTCTGATTATTAAATATTTTGGGAGGACATTCTTTGACATAGTGCAGATGTCCTGCTTCTTAATTTTCTGCCCACTGATTTTGGCATTTATCCACGGAGCCATTATTATTGTAGTGTTTGAGTGGTAGTTTTCTATTTCCATTATTCCTGCTGCATTTATTAATAGGAATCTCCTGTAAAGAAGAGCCTTGGCATTATTTTGAGGAATGATTACCATGATGCTAATATGTGGATGATAAATTGAAAAGAAGAAAGACTGGAGGCAGGGAGACTACAAGTAAGGAGACTGTTAAAATAATTTAAGAAAGTTGACAAGAGGGTGAACTGAGGCAAGTGCAATGCAAGTAGGCAATTAATATGAGACCTATTTCAGAGGCAGACTATTGTCTGAACATGATGACTTGTTAGATGTGAGCAGGGAAAGCAGGCAGGCATCAAGTATGGCAACAGGTTTCTTTCTTGGAGATAAGGAATATTGGAGGAATAGGTGATTTCGGAAGAAAAGAGCTAAAGTATATTTAAGTATGGACGGGCAGAGTGGAGGAACCTTTGTGAAACATCCACAGAGGGTTGTGTAGTAAGTTGGTGATACAGAAGGCTGGAATTTAGAAGAGAGGTCTGGCACAGAAATAAAGAGCTGAAAGTCATCAGTAGGTTGCTGGGAGTTAGAATCCATGGAAATGCACAACATTGTCTAGGAAAAGAATGTGGAAATAGAAAAATCCTAGCAGGCTAAGGATCACCAATGGAAAGATGGGAAGAAGGAAAGGAGCTCACACAGAGAGAATGAAATTGGGCACCTGGAACAATAGGAGGAAAAGTAACACAGTGGGAAAATGCAGGCCAAGTGAGGAGAAGTCTCATGGAGGAAGGAATGCTTCACCACCGTCTGGGTTACAGAGAAGTCAAGTAAGAAAAAGACTGAAACAACATGGCAGCTCTGAGTGCATTTCATCAGAGCAGTTTCAGCACAATGGTGAGAGATTAGTATTACATACTCTGCCCTTTTCACACTCATAAGTTATGACCATAAGTATGTTTATTTTTTATTCTTTAGCATAGGGCATTCCCCTTGTTTTTCTGAACGCTTTTTTGGGGGGGAGGATGGGCTCACCGCTCAGCTTGTGGGATCTTTATTCCCTCACCAGGGATCGAACCCGAGGCCCTGGTAGTAAAAGCGCCAATTCCTAACCACTAGACTGCCAAGAAATTCCCTCTCTGGGTGCTTTACATTAAAATACACATACACATTCACACACACACACATTATTATCTGGTGGCATGCTGGGTAATTCATCATTCCCCTGCATGACTGTGCTTTACTTGACTGGCACAGAATTACCTACAAGCATTTCATTATTGTATCTCAATTCAGTGTGTTTGGATTGAGTATTTGGCCAAGGTCTCCATGTACTCAGTGGATGGGTCAATTTGCTTTGCTTGGCCAGGCTCCTGAGTGCCCCCCTGTCCCCAGCCTTATAAATGTGTCATCATCAGCTGAACAGAGAGCAAGGTGAAAGGAGAAAGGATGGTTCAGTTCAAATCTATCCCCACGAGGGAAAAAGCAATTCAAAACATATGCCCTGCTCACAGAGGAGCAAAAGCATTATCTTTGTATAACATTACTTCAACATAGAGGTCAAATTTTCCTCAGTAAACTCAATTACTTCCTGTATTCTCTCTGGAAAGAAAAATGTTTGCTTCTAGAACAGCCTTCGAGCATGAGAAATTAACCCTGGAATATGAATCATTTAAGCTAAAAATACAAGATATTCTGGAAGCTGAGTTTGGCCTTGTAGCTATTTATTAACATTTGTAAGAAACTTCTTTTGATTGTAAAAACAATGTAATAATATAACAGAAAGTCAAAAAGCAGAAAAGAGAACCACTGCTAATCTTATTAGCATAGTTACTATCCATTTTGAGTATTTCTATATTTCTTCTATATGCGCTCATATTTTTGCATAATTACAATCAGACAGATTATATGTAGTTTTATCACTGGCGTTTTTGGTTGACTCAAGCATAGTTCTGAGTTGCTAAGTAGCCTTTATAATTATTCTTTTTAAATGATTGCATAATATTCCATGGAATATATAGGCCATAAGTTAATTAAATATTCCTCTACTATAGGACATTTAGTCTGTTTCTAATTTATCACTATCATAAGTAAGGCTGTATTGAAAAATACTGTATGTGTGACTTTATCCCTATGTTTTGTATTGTGCTATAGGTTATATTTTCAAAAGTGGGATTACTGAGTCACAGAGGATGAACATTTAAACTTCATATTTATTTCCATATTGCCTTTTAAAAGAGCTTACTGATTATGATAACACCAATTAAAGTTTGCTAAGTGGGTTGATGTTGTTGTTCAGTTGCTCAGTTGTGTCTGACTCTTTTCAACCCCATGGACTGCAGCACTCCAGGTTCCCCTGTCTTTCACCATCTCCCAGAGTTTGCTCAAACTCCACTGAGTCAGTGATGCCATCCAACCATCTCATCCTCTGTTGCCCGCTTCTTCTCCTGCCCTCAATCTTTCCCAGCATCAGGTCTTTTCCAATGAGTTGGCTCTTCACATCAGGTGGCCAAAGTATTGGAGCTTCAGCTCCAGCATCAGTCCTTCCAATGAATATTCAGGGTTGATTTCCTAAAGGAAATTGACTGGTTTGATCTCCCTGCAGTCCAAAGGACTCCCAAGAGCCTTCTCCAGCACCACAGTTCGAAAGCATCAATTCTTTGGTGCTTAACCTTCCTTCAGGTCCAGCTCTCACATCCGTACATGACTACTGGAAAAACCATAGCTTTGATTATATGGTCCAAAAGGCTAGAGCAGGGTCAGGTAGAATGACTCTCCCATGTGGAAAGAGGTTGAAGGGCACTGAAAGTTCCATCTAGGGATTTGCTGACAGTAACTTAGTAAAGCTGAAATTCTGCTGTGAAGTTCAAGTCAGAGGTAGAATTTTAAGTAGGAGAAATAAAAGGAAATAGGAAGTAAAAAAAAAAAAGAAAAGGTCAAAAATCTGATGGACACTTAAAAGATTGAAGAAGCAGTGGGGCAGAGAAAGCCAAGAGGGCGGGGTGGGCAGGGTAAAGTACAAGGTTTGAAGCCTGTATTGGTTGTGTATGTGTCAACTCACAGGAAGTGTTTCAGACACAAAACTACACTGGACTCAGCAATAATTAAAAGTCGATTTTTACTGTCTAATGGATACTTTAAGTTTTTAAGGGACTCCCTCATTTCATCTTCATTACAGCATGAACTTCAGCCACATGATGCGAAGAACAGACTCACTGGAAGAGATCCTGGTGCTGGGAAAGATTGAAGGCAGGAGGAGAAGGGGATGATAGAGGATGAGATGGTTGGATGGCATCACTAACTCGATGGCAATGAGTTTGGACAGGAGTTGGTGATGGACAGGGAAGCCTGGTGTGCGGCAGTCCACGGGGCTGCAGAGTCAGACGCGACTGAACTCAGCTGGCTGAACAGCGTGAACAGGTGCTGTGACTGCTCCCATTTTCAGGTGACAGTGGCAAGGCTGAGAGGTGAGCTGGCCAGTGACTGTCCTAAGAGGCACAGTGGTCAGCTGTCAGATGATCTAATGCTTTTTCCTTTGCCCCACCATGCTATCCACTCTGCTGACGTTTCAAATTTTGTAAACACACTCGGTATTAATATATCTCATTCTTCTTTCAATTTATATTTCTCTGGTTTCAAGTCATGCTCGATATTTGAATAAGACACTTGTAATATAAGAATTGGGAAGAGGGATTACTTCATACAGTAATAGTAATAATGTTTATTTAACCATTTGATATTCCCACTGCTAGAAGGACATCAGCATTGTTTTATTTCACTTAAAAAAATTTTTTTTTTTTGGCTGCATGCTATGGCATATGGGACCTCAGTTCACTGACCAGTTCACCTTAAATCACTGACCCTCTGCCCCCTGCATTGGAAGGTGGAGTCTTAACTACTGGACCACCAGGGAGTTCCTTTATTTCACTTTTGTGGTACTCAGCAACTGTTGTTGAATTGTCAAAGTTTTCATGAAAAGGTAGAAGAAAGTTTGGAAATGTTAACAGTTGTCTTTACATGGTAAGAAAATGAATAATTGTTTACACCCTATACTTTGGCATTTTCTAAATGATATAAAATTGCTATTTTCTTTGAAATTAATAGAAAAATTTTAAAACAAAAGAATTGGAAAGAGAACCAAAGGATCACTTACATATCTGAAAAAACTAGCCACAGACAAGGAGGTGAACATATTATAAATTGATATTGAGTCAGCACAAAACTAAGGGATGACATTCGACTTTCAAATTCAGGTTGTTTGCCTAACACCAAAGCTTCCTAGATCAAGAGTCTGCAACCTCTGGGATCTAATGCCTGATGATCTGAGGTGGAGCTGATGTACACAATAAAGTACACAATACATGTAATGTGCTTGAATCATCCCGAAACCACCCCCCACCTTCTCATTCCATGGAAAAATTGTCTTCCATGAAACTTGGTCCCTGGTGCCCAAAAGG